CTTGGCCTGTAGCCTTGGCCTGTAGCCTTGGCCTGTAGCCTTGGCCTGTAGCCTTGGCCTGTAGCCTTGGCCTGTAGCCTTGGCCTGTAGCCTTGGCCTGTAGCCTTGGCCTAGCCTTGGCCTAGCCTTGGCCAGGCCAAGGTAAATGTGGCGCCTAGTCTTGGCCTTGGCCTTGGCCTTGGTAAATGTGGCGCGTTTACACCATATTACACTATTTTTTTGAGACTGGCTCACTTTGGCCTAGAATTTTGTAATTAATTTTGTGTATTTTTATGTGTTGTGACGTTGTCCGCTGGTTGTCCGCTAGTCTCTCACTGTGGGCACACGTTGCCATGAAAATAAGGCCCAGGCCAGGGCCGAAAGTGTTTACATTTCTACAAGACTAGGCCTAGGCCACCGGTTGTAGTGGGCCCAGATTGCCTAGGTCAGGCCAAGGCTAGGCCGAAGTCCGTTTACACTGTCAAAATGTAGGCCAAGGACAAAGGCTGGTAGTGTAAACACGACTTAGTATTGAGACTATATTGTGTACAGTGTACTCTGTAATGAAGTGGTTTGCCGTAGGGTATTAACTACGGATTACCGGTTTGGCACTCCGGATACAAATCACTACGCTACAGTAAATTTGCCGCAGGGTCATATAGTGTAAATGCTGCCTCGAGCATTTCGAGTGATCATATCTGGCTATTTCTCACCGCAATGATACAACAGAGGCAGTATTCGAAAGCTAAAAGCCTGATCTTTATTGATATGAAAAAATTAAGTAGATAAACGTAATATATAAAGCACGATAGCATGCTAAAATTGGATTACCTTGGTAAGATATATATGTCAGTGAAATACAAGTGAACATTAATTTCCAGGCAATCCAACCAAATTCAGAATCGCATCGCCATCGGGATCTTACCTTCTAAATGCTGCAATTGATTCGCCAAGTGTCTGCGTGTCATTTGCCGCCAATGCATAATAACTAAAAGCGCCCTTTGGTAAAAGCTCCTTGGCGAAAACTTCAAAATCGTTGATACAAATTGGTTCAAGGTTCAATTTATAGTTTTCCATCCTTTCTTAGAACTCGTAGATTTTGGCGTGTCGAATTATGGCTGCAAAATGTTAGCCTTTCAGTGCCTCTCACATTTGGTTCTCGAACTAATATCCACTATGTTTAGAATACAATTAATTATAAATTCATTAAGAGGAGAATATTTATAGAAATACACAACATGCCATCCAGAAATTCGCCTTTTGAAAGAAAAGATGGCGAGAGCCGGAAAGCCACATGGGAAGTATGTGGGTAAGCAGAACTGAATCCGAATTTGCAGGGCACGGAGACCATTATAAAGGTTTTGGTATATTAGTTTTTGGTATAGAGGTCTGGGGATGTGCGTCGTATTCTAAGTATCTTAGTCAAGTAGATAAACTTTTAAAACGTGCATATAAGTATGGATATCTTATGTATATCAGGTATCGATTGTTGATATATTAAACAATAAAGACAAAGATTTATGGGAGAAAATAACTACAGATCCCAACCATGCCCTGCAAGTTTTGCTGCCTCCTAGTCGTCAATTAGAATTACGCAATCGCGGACATGAGTATGAACTACCGAGAGTTCGAACAGAAAGGTTTAAAAGAGTGTTCGTTAATAGATGTCTTTTTAACTTCATATGATATTTTTAAATTAGAAATTAACTTCTTAGGAACTACATTAAACATTATAATAATGGTATTATAGCTCTATTAATGAATAATATCCATACTAATATAGTAATTAGTATAATATAATTATTGATAAGTAATTGGTGCAAATTGTAAGCCCGCACGTTTGTTGTGAGGTGTTACTTTTAATATTTTAATAAAGATTTATACATACATACATACATACATACATACATACATACATACATACATACATACATACATACATACATACATACATACATACATACATACATACATACATACATACATACATACATACATACATACATACATATATACATACATACATACATACATATATACATACATACATACATACATACATACATACATACATACATACATACATACATACATACATACATACATACATACATACATACATACATACATACATACATACATACATACATACATACATACATACATACATACATATAAAGAGGACAAAAATATGTGACATTGTATGAAAGTCTCTTAAGCGCCATGTTACACGGTGCAATTTTTCTTGCAACTTGCAATGCAATTCTACTCTTGAGAGATGTTAATCAGTGAAATCAGTGAAGAATTTTCGATATGTTGAGAAAACATCAGTGAGGTGCAGTGAACTCCATAACTTTTATCTGGAATGATATTAAATTTATAACATGCGGGAGAAACGTGAAGCCAATGCCAACGTCACATGACGCGCGTGGTGAGAAGACTGACTTCTCCCCATTTAAAGTCAGGCTGCACGCAGGCTAGTTGCGCGGTCGCAATTTTTTTCCCGTAGACAGTCGCGGACTCCTCATTGATAGTCGGACGCATCATTGACCCGCGCCCTTAAACAAAACATTCAGTGGACATACTCTTCTTTTTAGATGCTTCTTCCCAGTGTGTCTTGCGCACGCAATTGGTGATTTCGAAATATTGTATTGCTTGGCTGAGATGTCAAAATCTGAACAGGACACATTGTGGCTTCATATCTTGTGTGGTGATGACATCTGACATATTTTATTAAGTTATATTCGCCATTCCCACTTGCTTTTTTTTTGCTTTTGTAACTGTTTTTTGTAACTCTTTGGAGCGATTGCAGAATATCCGTCCACTTTTAAGATGGCCCTGAAGGGGTAAAATGGGAACTGGGATTGATCTATTTTTAGACTGGGAAAATGGGATTTGGGTTGCTGGGACTGGGATTTGGCCACTGGCGGAAACGAAGTCCTCAAAAATGGGAATGGGATTGAGGTAATGCCAGTCAATTCTCAATTTTTCTACGTTTTAAGTATTTTAAAATACAATTTTGATCCGTTTTTGGTGTCTTTGGTCATGATTTTTGTTGTTAACTATATTATCCACAGCACTACCTGAGAACAGGCATACTCTGGCGCCCGGAATTCTGGGTTTTCTGATTATGCGTCTCTCAGAATGCTGCAAATGCCATTTCCGGGATTCAAATTTAAAAATTTTCCGTGCTTTCGGCACGAGCCCCCTCCCCAATATTTCATAAAGTGTCCGCCACTTGCACACACGGTGGCTTAAAAGGTCTTAAAACTGTTTATTCTACCGATAAATAAAGGGTTTTTTATTGACTGGGATTTCAATAACTCGGACTGGGATTTCTAATAAAAATCCAACTGGGACAGGGATTTTGCCAAAATTTCAGGTGGGAAATGGAATTGGGACCCCCCCTTCAGGACCCTCTTTTAAGCTATGCCTTTCAAACATCATGCATGGATACGATGTATTAATACATCTATATTTATTCTCAATAGATTAATAATAAATAGATTGATAGATCCCATGGTGGTAAAGGTAGCTACGAGGCATACAGCGACTTATAGTGCAAAACTCGTTAATAGATTAAATTGTCATAGTGTTAAAGGTAGCTCTATATTTTAGTGGATACGCGGATAAGCAGTCAAGTAGTTATTTTGAGAACGAGGTGATACAGTTAGATTAGCATTAGATCAAATTCTCATGCTATACAGTAGGTAGCTCTGTATTTTAGTGGACACGCGGATACGTGGATACGCAGTCAAGTATAGTTATTTTGAGATCAGGGCGACGACAGTTCAGCTAGCATTAATAGATTAAGTTCTCATGCTATAGAGAACTTAAATGTGGTGTAATATGTAAATATGTTCCTCGCAACCGGACATTGGTGTTTGACAGATTATTATATCAATGCGTAGTAATTAGTTGAGTATATTAGAACGAGGCAATAAGATCTGGTATATATATCTAGTGAAATAGTGGCCGGGATACATGATATGATATTACTAGTGGACGGGTATTCTGCAATACTTCTATTTGTGGAAATTGGTCTTGATGGTCGCTTTGAATCTTCCAGTATTTCCTTGCACGCTAGTTATCTTATCCTGATTCTCTTCAATTGAGATGATATATATATATACACGCCATGAAAGTTGGACTACATTCAACTTTCTTGGCGTGCCCGCGCGACTGATTTTTCACGTGATTAAAACTGGTCGCTCCACCCGCGCGGGCAAAGCGAGTGCAATGGAAAATGGCCTTTAATAATAAGGCCATTTTCCACTAGGCGAAATTTTCCGAGCGGAGCGGAATTTCTCTTCGTCTTTTCTAATTAGTTCCATGCACCCGGGAAATCGATCACAAGACAAAGAGAAATTCCGCTCCCGCTTAGTGGAAAACATGCCTCCTCCACAGACGCTCGTTGCGTCATGGGAAGGCCACGCACGATCTGGCGTGGGCCCGCGGAATCTTGCAGAAAAAATGGCGCAGGCGTCACGTTAACAAATAAATTTATTCTTGGATTTCACTACGGCATTATGCTGTGAATCTGACAGGGGTCAACCTCAAATGTATTGATGCATATGCTGTATTACTGGAGTGAGAAAATGATACGAAATTCCATGTATTTGCCACCAAACAAGGCTAATACATGAAACGAACAATCTGACTCACTCTGATAACTGTGTTTTGTTTTAGGGTTAACCCCCCCTCCCCCGTCACTTTTGTGACGTCATATGAAACCCAAAAGTGTATTGATTCAGTCCTATAGGACTGGGTCAAAATTAATTCACCTCCAGTGGCGGCGCCAGGGGGGGGCAAGGGGGGGCAAATGTCCCCCCAAATTATTTTTTGCCCCCCCATTTTGCCACCCCCCTCAAAAAAAATTATTAGTTACTAAGAGCGACTAAAGGCTACACAAGTGTTCTGTCGTTATCGGAAAATGTATGGCTTATAAGTTGTCATTACTCATTTGTGAATGCGCGTATACATGAAACTGTTTTTTACAGTTTCAATACTAGTTTGTAAATCTCTGAATGGTAAAACTTGCCAATACTCCAATAATACGTTTCAAAAAAAGACAAAAACGCTTTAGTTTTGCAGAGTTAAATTCTCAAACGTGTAAGGCAATAATAAGATGAAAGTATCACGAAATTATTTGAATAAACCACATCGCATATAAGGGGGGCGAATGTCCTAAAGAGGGGCGATATTCCTAGGGTATTCGCCCCACCCCCCTGGGAGGCGATATTCCTAGGAATATCGCCACGTTTTGAGGGGGGGGGGCGAATTTCCTGGGGGGGCGACCTTTTCAAAAATTCTATCTTGCCCCCCCAAAATTCGAGTTTGCCCCTCAAATGCCCCCCCCAAATTTGGAAGCCTGGCGCCGCCACTGGATTTTGACGAGATTAAATTGTCCGGAATTGAAATCTAGTCCAGTCCTCATGGTCAGACTTCAAATATTACATCACATATTGTTATCGATT